GATTCGTATTTACAAGATCAGGATGTCAGAATTACGAGATCAGTATGTCGGACTTATGAGATCAGGATGTCAGAATTATGGGAAAAGATTTCGTAGTAACAGGAAATCTCATTAGCATAAGCTGAAGTTGGTTTCCGATTCTTAGCTTTCGATTCTCAAATCACTCAGATCACTCAAAACCGGGTCCCGTATGGAAACTACAGTAGCTATGCTGCTCAAATCTGGATGGAAATATTCTTACTAGGCTATAGTTTCATTAAAAGCTTGTTAATAATATTTTTTGTTAATTGTTAATGAATAAGATTAATTAAAATTTGTATAATTGGCAGAGAATAGTCTCCAGTTGCCGTTTTACTAGTCATATCATGAAAATAAATTAATAAGATCACCTCTATTTGCATTGGTCAGACAGCCTAAAGGGCTGCAAGGCTAAGAGTGTTGAACAGTTGTTTTACAGACATCTCAGATAGTGTTTATAAAGGGACGAGGAAGATCCTGTCTGGATGTAAGATGGCTGTGATAGGAGCAGGAGAAGACAAGCAAGGTCTGAAATGATGGCAAATGTTAGTGGACAGATTAATGAGATAACAATACATTTGTGATGCAGATTCTGAAGTGTTTGATAGAATTTATATAATTTGCTGAATAATTAAGCACATATTTGAATATTTTTCATACATGTTCTGGTTTGGGATGGTCCAAATAAAATAAAAATTGTGGTAAAAAAAAAAAAAAAAAATCAGACAGGGTGTTTTAAAGTCTCTTTACCCTATTTAGAATAGTTCTATCCAGATTTGAGCAGCATAGCTACTGTACTTTCCATAAAGGACCCAGTTTAGTGTGATCATAATGCAAAAAAAGTCAAATGCTCCTGTTTTCCATTTTCACAAATATCAAAATCAAGTTTTTAATTAATCTACAGCCTATTCAAAATATTTCCATCCAGATTTGAGTTTTGAGTGAGAAGACTGTAAAAAATGCAGTGAAATCGCCCTTTATGCCATTCACGAATCGGAAGCTGTGAATCGAAAGCCAACTTCAGCTTCATACGAAGAGGCTAGTACATGTCTATAAGTAAATTAATAACTTTATTTATGACGTTAATTTACGACTGTGGCTTTGTTCCTTTTTTCACGTGACATTGTTACCGTGGCAGCAGAAAAGCTGACATGGCTGACATGCATGCTAGTTTTTGTCATTGTTGTTATGCTGGCAGACATCAAGTTGCCATAATTACGAGTAAATATCTCATAATTACGAGATCTTTTTTCTTTTAATCAAAATAATGAAATGATACAGACTGCTGGTTGTGCAGCACTGCAATTATTTATGCGTTGCTTTCTCTCTTACAACGTCTCAAGCAAAAATGCAACCAGCATTGGGGCAAGAAATTCTTGGTGTTGGGCCACTCACAACATTAAGAACTTCTCAAAAAAAAGATCTGATAGAAATTGATATGATAGTAATTGAATTACAAAATGCCATTTTCAAAAAACAAACCTGACTGATTTAGTCTCCCACTGATTGTATTGTAGTGTTTAAATAGAGAGAGGCAGAGAGACATAGACGGATTTAATCATCTCCAAAGGGAAATTTAGTTGCCGTAACAGTCTGGTCAAAAGATGTACACAATTTTATATAAAACAGCTAAGGTATCAAAAGAATAAAGATTTTTACCATCCCACTAGAAAACAAAGCAGAATTCACTGCTCTGTATGATCATTGAGATGATTTACCTGTCTAGGCACATAACGTAAAGTATAACAACAAGAAGATAAAATTCTCCAGTAGAGTCTATCCACTTTGTTAGTATATGTACATTTGTATATACCGTAAATTCCGGGCTATAAGCCGCTACTTTTTTCCCACACTTTGAACACTGCGGCCTATAATATGATGCGGCTAATTTATGTTTTTTTTTCATGGCGGCAAAAACAGTAGACCAATAAAATTGATGAGAAGTTCACAGAGCTCCAATTAAATTGTGCGATACATCATGCTAACTTTCACAGTTAATTACGGACTTGTAAATCAGTCATTTGTACTCACCCTCATCAACATGGAAGCTACTCGAAGAAAAGCATACGATGCCGCTTTTAAGTTAAAGGTAATCAGTCTGGCGATTGAAGTAGGAAATCGAGGTGCTGCACGTCGTTTTGGCATAAATGAATCGATGGTGAGACGGTGGAGACACCAGCGCGAAGAACTGACTCGATGCAAAAAGACGACAAAAGCTTTCAGAGGTAATCGCAGCAGTTGGCCGGACCTGGAAAACTCCCTTGAAGACTGGGTGAACACACAGCGAGCAGGAGGCCGCGGAGTTTCCACCGTGCAGATCAGGCTGAAGGCTAAACAAATGGCGACCGAGATGAACATCGAAGATTTTGGAGGTGGGCCATCGTGGTGTTTCAGATTCATGAAACGAAAAGACCTGTCCGTCCGGTCACGCACGACGCTGTGTCAGCAGCTCCCTCCCGACTACGAGGGAAAACTCGCTAACTTCCGTACATTTACTCAAACAATGATAGCGGAGCATTCCATCGGGCCAAATGACATAATAAATATGGATGAAGTACCTTTGACCTTTGACTTGCCGCTGACCCGGACGGTAAATAAAAGAGGTGACTCGTCCATCACAATCAAAACAACTGGCCACGAGAGGACGCACTTCACTTGTGTTCTGAGCTGCACAGCATCCGGACTAAAGCTCCCACCCATGGTGATTTTTAAGCGTCTGACAATGCCAAAGGAAAAGATCTCAAAAGAAATAGTGGTGAAAGTAAATAAGAAAGGCTGGATGGAAGAAAGCCTAATGAAGGAATGGCTTACGGAGTGCTATGGCAAGCGTCCAGGGGGATATTTTCACCAAAAAAAAGCACTGCTCGTGATGGACAGCATGAGGGCCCATATAACTGTCTCAGTGAAAGCTGCCATCAAGAGTACAAACTCTATCCCAGCTGTGATTCCAGGGGGCACCACGAAGTATTTGCAGCCACTGGACATCAGCGTTAACCGTGCATTTAAAGTGGCACTGCGCAGTGAGTGGGAAACTTGGATGACGAGTGGCAAGAAATCCTTCACCAAAACTGGCCGCATGAGAAGGGCAACTTTTGCTGATGTCTGCCAGTGGATTATAAATGCGTGGAGCCGCGTCAAAACATCCACCATCACCGGCGGGTTTCGGAAGGCTGGGCTGCTCCGTGATGAAGAGGACCGCGAGTGTTCAAGTGAGAGCGACAACGAAGAGACTGAAGTGAGTGACAGTATCCTAAAGTTGTTCAATTCAGACACTGAGGAAGAGGACTTTGATGGTTTTAGTGCGCAGGAGTAAGAAGAAGGCGACTGACTTTTCCTGATACGCTGCAAAGTTCGCGTTGTTCAGTAAAAAAGCATACGCAACGTTATTTGCGTGTTACCGACACGTACAAAAGTACGGTCGATGTGTTACAGGTACTGTTTCAAAAAAGCCTTTGTAAAATGTACCGTATTTGTTTGTTTTACCATACGGATTAAATCAAACGTTAAAAAAATCCTCACGTGTAATATCTTTGTGTAAATATCTGCGGCTTAAAATCCGGTGCGGCCTATACAAGTACAAAATTGATTTTCTTTCTAAAATTAGAGCGTGCGGCTTATAATCAAGTGCGCTCTGTAGTCCGGAATTTACGGTATGTATATGTAAATACATGGTATGTGTATGGATGTACAGTTTGCATATATATTTACATATGTTCACTTGCCTCAATCTGAACATATATGTAAATGTGTATGTAAAGGTATGCATTTGCAAACATATGTACTGTTTGTAGTGCTGCCGCGATTAGTCGATGTGATCGATGAATTTCTGTCGATGACTATTTATGGGTCAGCCTGTTTATCGCCTATTTATTTTTGGTCTGAGCAAACGGCTCATCTAAGTTCATTCTGCTCCACACCACTCCTTGTCTAGCATCACTTGCAAGGTCTTTTGTACCAGCCACATCTACACCTTCCGAACATTTGTTTTCAACAGCCGGAGATATAGTGTCAAACAAAAGAGAAAGCCTAAGTCTGGACGCGCTGACAACGCGCTGACGTCACAACAGTTGATTAATCAGGGGGCCACAGTCGGACACTATGCTGTCTTGCATGTTTGCACTTAATAGTTGTAGAATAGAATTTGGAATTTCAGTAGGAGGTGCAAAATCCAATTATTTTTTCTTTGTTGTAACTGGTGTTTTATAAACCTGATGTTGCCATATTTCATTTTATATTAATAGGATTATACAAGAAGATAGTAGTTTTATAGTACTTCTACTTGAATGCTTTTATATCATTTCTGTAAAGTAGAAGACATTCTCACATTTTATTACACTTTTTTATTTATTACATTTTATTTATTAAATATTTAGTTTATTTATGTTATGTTTACTTTTGACACACAGGTAAGATTTTATGTTTTGGTCCTTGAGTTATTTGAATTAATCTTTAAGATTAGTCGACTAATCGAAAAATTAGTCGAAAGATTAGTCGTTAGATAATTATTCGTTAGTGGCAGCTCTTAACCATTTGGGATTTTGCTAATTGTAATTATTGTTTACCGATGATTTTTTGTGGTGAAATCGTCGTCTGAAATAAATTCATTCATTCATTCATTATTAATCGAACAAGCTAATTTGTGAGCTAAACTAAAACTGCCGAGATACTGACCAGCAAATCCATTGTCAATAACCATCATCTGGATTAAACATCTTAGTATTATCTTTGTATAAAATCAATAAAAAATTATATTTAGTAAAACTCTGATATATCGATCGCAATTTTTCTTTTTTTAAACCAAAAACAAGACTGATTTTGTCATCTGCCATCCATTTTCTTACATCAAGAGCCAATTTCTCCCAAAATTATTATTTGACAGACAGAAAACAAGGCAAACTTCTAATTATTGATAAAAAAGACGTTACTTTAGAGTAACTTAAGTGAGTTTTGGGGGTGATACGACTCCTCGTGTTGCGTCTTACCCTTGAGCAGCGGTAAGGGCGTGAGCTCTATGGGTTTGCCCTGAGAGCGGAACTGCGACGAACTCTGTGACCGCTTCTGCTTGGCCTTCCTGACAGACTTCCGTGAAAATCCGTCCACTTTGTCCACAGATGGAGATGTGGTAGGTGCCGAGGACATAGCCCTGCTGAGAAAGACAAAAAACAGGTAGAGATTAGCATGGCACGCTTGCTGTGCATTTGAGTGATTTAAGTTCACTGTGCGGTGAATCAAAAATTATTGTGAAGTGAAGTTTTTCCTTGCCTGTGTCGCCTAGTGCTTGCTCATGGTGGGAATTGTTGGCTTTCTGTAATTAACTTCAGAGTAGGGTCTGAGCTGCTCTGTTTGGAAAGCGCTGTGAGACAACTGTTGTTGTGATGTGGCGCTATATAAATACAATTGAATTGAATTGAATTGACTGCAGAATGGTGACAGCATGAAAAAACTTAAACTGGGCTTTGCGCTATGTGAGCTGTTAATTGATGAATGTACAATACATTTAGCAAAAAAGGTCATCTAAAATTACATCAAATCAGGTGGTTCTCATATCATATGAATCCAAAACTTCTGTTCATTTTTTTCTGCTCATTTTTTCCTGCTTCTTCCTCTTAAAACTAACCTAATTATTACATTATATCTGCAGACCGCCAGACTGCATGGCACTCAGAAGTATTCCATTAAAGATATTACAGATATAACTTGTACCTGAACCAGAAACTGGGGAAATCTACCACTTCAGGATGTGTTCGATCTATTGCATTACTCAGCCAAATTAGTTACATTTTATTTCCATTAACCTCCATTTACACTACAATGGTGTTTTTAGTAGTGGGGAATACAATTTTACTTGTATTATTTAATTACAAATTTACTTTTTTTTGCTTACCAATAGATTTTCAGTCATTATATATTTAGTTTAACCAACTGTTCAACTGTGTGGCTAGTTTCTAGTGTCTATAAATTCAAAAGTACAAGTACTGAATAACTATAATACTGACATACAGCATTCATAATGCACACACACAAGTAGAAATAAAAACAGAAGCAATTTGGCCTTGATCAAATCCCAGTGCAAACATTTAGTAGAGCATTATGTCTTAAAACACTAAGAGCTTTTTTTTAACAAAAGTTACTCTTTTTAGACAGTCCCCACAATGAAACACTGTACAGATAAAGGGGGACATCTTTTCTACAGGTTGAAATTCAATCAATGCTTTGGCTAAAACATTGCTTTACGACAAATTGTTTCCTTCATTCCATTACACCATCAGCAGCTCTCTTACACACAAAAACACGCCAAGAAAAAAAACAAAAACAAAAAAAAGTTATCACCCAAAACAATGGACATGGTTCGGTGGCCACTGTGGGCGGAAGCAGAGGAAACGTCTACAACTGGGCGCTTGCCAACAATCAAATGTGAGGAAGAGGTGAAAACAATCTTCATACATATATATAAGAATAATGAAAAGGTACAGCACCAAGGGGCAAAATGCTTGTAATGAGCTTGTAAACATGAGCTGAAATTTCACTGTTTTGGGGTATTTTTAAAATACCCATTCAGTAAATGTATTAGTTAAACTGACAAAAAAATGTAACTTGTAGAAACTCAATGTAGCAATTTGTTTAGTCGTTTACCTTCACACTGTTCAGCGTTTATTTCGAACAGGGTGATGGGAGTTACATGTGACCCATCCTAACTCAAAGACCAATCAGGGACTTCTCCGATTCATTACATTCTTTTGGAATTCTTCTTCCAGCTCTTTGAAGAGGGGTTTTAATTTTGTGTAAGAAAATTAACTGAGAAGCTTGTCATGTCTTTAAATAATCACAGAAAAAAATCAGCTTCAATGCCCAATTTTGAGTTCACATTTAAGAAGTTAGACGTTAGATCTTTTTTTTTATTAAGACTTGTGTACAAGGTACAAAAGACATGAATAACTTCTAATTCTTTGGTGAGCACAAGATAACTGAGACAGAAAAGTGAGCCCAGAAATTTCTAATTACATCCTTTTTTTTATCTCATGTTTAATTTGTTTAAAACATACATTGCTAGTTAGGACTTCAGGATCATAGTGGAGACACTGACATGAGAGGGGGGGGGAAAATCCCTGACCATGTCCACATTAAACCAACTGGAGGACACGAATGCCAGAGAGGAAGTGAATTAGAGCTCCAGCGAAAGAAGTTATGTAATAATTTGTGAATGAAATACTGCAGACCCAAGCTGGCTGCTTCTCTGCATACTCCATCAAAATCCCAAAGCCCGTGTGTGGGACTGTCTACCAGCTCCTGAGGTCAGAGAAGCAGAGGTGATGGGCAAGCTTATCTCTCAGTAAATACATAAGATTTCATCCTGCAGCCTGAGGATACAGACAGTCAGCTTTTCACAAGTTAAGAAAGGCTGCACGGGGGGTCGCCCATCAGAGAGGAAATGTATCCATCTGGGGTTACATACCAACATGCCACATGACTGAGTATGGCAGTAAAAGGATTTTCTTTTTAATTCATATTTGTTACAACTATGATAAATGAGAAGAGAGTTGTTCATCACTGTTATTGTTACACCCCTTTTTAAAGAAGCTTTAAATGTCATAATAAGACTTAATATAAACATCATGTTGACAAAAATCTATATTTAAATAAGTCAAGCAGTTAAAAATTAAGAAAGGTCCAACCGCAATCAGCTACACAATTTATTTCACAATGTGATAAGCGTGATATGACTTGTGGTAGCATATAAATAAAACTAAGCAGCATAAAAACAAAAAAAAAAAAAATATATATATATATATATATATATATAAAAAATAATTAAAAAAGGCTAACAGAGGAAAAATTATTGCAGAAATGTGTGTTGACAAAACAAACAAGATAGTTTTTTTTTCTAAATAATTTACAAGTACAGATAGAGATCTTTACACAACACAATGTCATTAAAAAATTCATCTGTCAGCATTTTTCATTTTTGGCTGCTAATGTCCTGTGTTTAAAGTCTCCTGCAACCAGTTTGGCTGGGGAAAAAAAACTGAAAGTCCCGCTCTGATCCAAACTCTCATGCTGGCATACAAAAATAAAAGCCTGACTCACAAACACATGGGGTGTTGTACATAAAGACATCACACAAACCATTTCCTTATCCTTGGTGACATTTGTGCTTTTTAAACTATCACACCCAATGGTACAAATGCAAAAAAGCGGTGAGGCCAAATACGCTTCATTGCAACGTTTTGCCTAAAACAAAACAAACCAACACCTAGACACCTGTTTGTCTGAAATAGTGCAGCTATTGAGCCTTCCAGAGACCAGACAGAAGCATAGGCTGGTTCCTCTGAAAATCGCCGTCGCTGTGGGATTATCTGCTACTAATACCCGATAGTGGAAGAGCTCTGACGTACAACTTTTAAACACCTTGAGGGAAAATCCAATGTTGGAACCAGTGGCACAATCAAATATAACAGGGAGGTTCTCCCCGTTTTTTTTTAGCAAACATTTGTTGTACTGTGAGGGTTTGACGCTTCCCCGTATTTCACCTTGTTTGGCAAATGAATGTACCTGAGCTTCCACAGACACAATAACATGAAAATGCCCCCTTGGATTTTTTTTAGACAAAAAAAGGAAAATAGCTGGCCGATAAACTAATTATCACCATTCATTGTAACTCCGTTTCTATTCGTAGTTGATATAAAACGATCTCTTAATTTTCGGGAACACATGCAATGCTACATCCCTATGCAATTGGAATTCTAGGAAACAATTGCAATGCTTTGTTTGTTCTTTGTAGTGAAGGATCAAAGATGCATCTTGATTTACATTTTACTAAGCAAGCAGGAAAAGATGCGCCTACCGACTCTGCTTCTGTCCTCAAAATCTCTCAAAAGGCAACAATAAATAGTGCAAGAGCAGAGTGCATTTCAAAGCTCCACTAACACAGCTAACTTCTCTTACCTGTGAAAAAAGGCAGCGGAATCCCCATTTATAACCATTAACCCCTTAGTTTCAATCTTTTCTTCAGGTGACACTGCAAATGGTAACCCTCTCCAGAGCCTCCACAACACAAGAGTGGGAGCAAAGACTGTGCCGGCCGGTCATGTGTGTGGCACTCGAGCATCAAAGCCATCACCCTCCCGCGTCTCTTACATAAGAGACCAGATGACATCCAACAGGCTCGGGGAGGGTGGGATTAAAAAACAAGAAGGAAGGAGAGAGGTGGAAGAGATCGGGGGGGGGGGGGGGGAAAAAAAAAAACAGGAAGGAGAAAGAGGGAAAAGGGGGGGGGGGGGGGGGCGTACAGTCAACAACGGTAAGAGTAAAAAGAAAAGGAGGAAGAGGAGGGAGTGTTCGACAGGAAGTAAGAGGAGCTGGTGTGAGGGAAAAGAACAAGGCACATGAAAACATACAGGAGAACACACACACATGGGAGGAGGGGGAAAAAAACAAAGCCAGTATATGAAAAGCTTACTGCTGACTCCTATGGTCCAAAGTTAGAATTCAAACTAGCAAAAAACACAAAGGTAAAACTTGCACAGTACTTGTTTTTTTGTTTTTTTACCAACAAAAGTTTTTAAAGCATTTTCGAAAAGAGATGAAAAACTTAAATGTTTTCAAATAATTTTCTGCTAAAATAAGCAATAAGGAATTCTCCTATAATTGGTTGATGGGTGAAAAATGTGTTTGATGGTAGAGTTAAATTATAAAAAATTAAAAATAAAGACTAATATCTATAACTTGAAGTTTTATGTTATGAAATGATCCTAAATGGCAGGTTGTCTGTCACTCTCCTCAATGGAGGGGTAGTTTTCCTTTAGAAATCTGCTCTCATTAAAGTGTGCAGAACGCTGCAGTAAAGCAATAATACAAGCATCTCTACATACTCCAATAAAAAAAGGGCACACAAAATTGGTGATCAGTAACTTTAGGTGATGAAACATGACGCACAATGGGTCAAATAACCTAATCTCTATATACTGCAGGATGATATGCACCAAAGGTTCGAACAGAAGATGCTGTGAGAACTCTTGTGTGATGAGCCATGTGGCTGCAGTGTTCCTCTCACCCTCACAGGGATGAGTATGACCCAACAGGAGGCTCCAACATTACTTGTAAATTTGATCACCTCTGTTAGCTTTTGCATTCAATTTTTC